GCTTCATTTTTGAGTCAGTTTTAAGAAAACATGGGTTTGTATTACTATAAGTATTGGATATAGATCTAATTAATAGAGTTTATTGGTGAGAAAAAGTTACCTTAAATGTAGGATTTAATGAGAGAAAATGGGAATTCATACCATAAATATAAGACCTAATGAAAGGGAATTAAATGAGGTGAAAAATATTAATTCAAATTACATTTTTCAACCCTCACAATTAGAGAGGGACTAAATTTAAAAGCAATGGTATTTTAATCAAGAAGAAAATGTTCACCTCATTCATACTYTTAATAGTAGTATTTTTTTGAGCTGATAAGGGTATTTTTTTTTTAAATAAAGAAGAAATTTTRTTATAAAGAAAAAGAAAAATGATTACATGAGGTGATAAGGCATCACTGAAAAACAACAAACAACCTAGCCACCTCTGATTTTAAAAATATTTTCATCTACCACAAGCCAAACCCAAATAAACCATCAAAACCACCCACCACCAGAACCCAAACTTATGGAACCAAAATCCTTGACTTGAGCTCTCCTCCCATCTTTCCCAGAGCCCAGCCTAGTTCTCCACCCAAACAAATTCCCTTCCCAATTACTGATATCAAAATACATTCACTTCGGACCTTCATTGATTGCAAAAATAATTTTTTTTTTCTCTTCAAAGCTCTTGTCTTCTTTACCCTCTTGTTAATTCCAACCCAAATAGGCCTCCCCTTAGTTGAGCAAAAACCTTTGAAACTGGCAGAATTCTGTTAGACGGTTACATTTTTGGTATCTAAGAATACTCTTCCTCTCCCCATAATTATCATCAATCTTTTCTAGCTCTAAAACCACATTCTTCTCAAATACTTGCTCTGCTGTGAAAACCACCCCCTTCACCTCTTCGACTGAACACCTATCAACAGGAATYGAAGTGTCCCTCTTATTATTTTCCAAAAACCCACCAGACATTTCTTCCACTTCCTCAAGTCCTTCTCCACCTCTTCCTTTTCTTTCCTTCCAGTCTCTCCAACACATCTTCCCTTCTGCCTGCGGCAATCAAACAAGGCCTTGTTCTATTTTCTTCACCAACCTGCTACAATCTGCTGCCTACAAGATAAGCTTGTTTCTCATTCAACTCCTCTGCTGGTAGTCCCTTGTTCCCATCTACCTCAACTTCCTGGAGACCARCATACAAGTATCCATCTGTGTATGCCCCTAATTCCGCCTGTCAAGCTCTGATTGAAGAGGGAGATAATGGACCAGCATTAGGCGTCCATCAACACCCCTCCCCTGTCCCTCACATGATCATTTAAGATTGCATATTCCTCTTTTCTAATAACTGGTTTATTTACAGCTGACCTAAATTGCACACATCTTTGGGCTTCATTACAATGGACTCAATCGTATCAATTAAACTTCCTCCCACATGATCACTTAAACCGTCACGTGGACTGGCTTGATCCAGTTCAAACACCCAACTGGAGCTAGTGACCTGACCCATCTTCAAATCCTCCTCCACTCTCTGACTTCTCCTTTGACACTTGATCCTCTTGCGCGTGGTCGGGATCATCAACTCCATCTGTTAGATTTTGAACAAAAGACCTTCTTGACTTCTGTCCCTTTCCATCTGTTTTCTATCTTTTGGTGATTCCTTGTCACCTATACTTGTTTTCCTTTCTCTTGTTCTCGAAACTTCTCTTTATTGTAAAAAATGGTATTATCAACTAATAGAATCTAATGGTTTGTATTTTTCTCTAGCTAAGCTCTCCATATGCAAGGTGTTTGGAGCATTACTTTGTTAAATCAAAGATATTTACTACTAATGCATGAAAAGAAAAAGAGTAGGGTATCCAAATCTTAAAAAACAGGGATGAGAAAATGTTCAAAATACCATAATTCAATATTTTCTTCTAAATGTGATGCAAATTTATGAGAAAATGTTATGAAGTAGTTTGGTATTTGATCTCACCAGCCCTCTTTTGGACTATTTGGATGGAAAGAAAGCTTGTAGTATTCAAGAACATTAAGTCTCAAAATGATAAAACCCTTAGCAAAGGCTTTCTCTTGGCTTTTGGTGCACAAAGAATTTCCAAATATCCAAGCCCCTCTCTTTTCTGCTCCTATTAATATGTTCATGAGGAATTAGGTTTTTGTTAGCACTTGGGAGGTTTCTTTTTGTGCAATCCCTTTACTGTATAGGAGTGTCTTCCCCCACCTTCTCTTATTTGCAGATTAAAGCTATACATCACATCACTATCTATCAAAAAAAAAAAAAAAAGCTATACATCACTAATGATCTCCTGTAAAAAAATTAATTATGGTATTATTAGATGGAAACATGATAATATTTTGTCATGGTATACATTAAAAGATCTAACCTCTAATACAAAATTTAGGATGATAATCAATTAAATTGTACTATATATTGGATGGGCAAAAGTGTCCTCAAGAAATTGGGATAATAACTATTTACCTTATCCCAGGTTTTGTTTGAGCAATTAAGCTAGTATAAGAATCTAGCTAGCTGTATGTTCTGCATATATTTTAATATCCAGGTTAGATATATCTTTTATAACAATAACAGTTTATGGTTATACATGCATGCATATAAATGTACATTTTTTAAATGTTCTTTTTTTGGGTGGTGTTGAATATTTTAAATCTCATGTTATAGCTTGTTAAGCTTCCCCATATTCTTTTTAAGCTTCCAAGTGTCTTCTTATGAGCATGTCCTTGCTTCAAATTNCATACAAGTATCCATCTGTGTATGCCCCTAATTCCGCCTGTCAAGCTCTGATTGAAGAGGGAGATAATGGACCAGCATTAGGCGTCCATCAACACCCCTCCCCTGTCCCTCACATGATCATTTAAGATTGCATATTCCTCTTTTCTAATAACTGGTTTATTTACAGCTGACCTAAATTGCACACATCTTTGGGCTTCATTACAATGGACTCAATCGTATCAATTAAACTTCCTCCCACATGATCACTTAAACCGTCACGTGGACTGGCTTGATCCAGTTCAAACACCCAACTGGAGCTAGTGACCTGACCCATCTTCAAATCCTCCTCCACTCTCTGACTTCTCCTTTGACACTTGATCCTCTTGCGCGTGGTCGGGATCATCAACTCCATCTGTTAGATTTTGAACAAAAGACCTTCTTGACTTCTGTCCCTTTCCATCTGTTTTCTATCTTTTGGTGATTCCTTGTCACCTATACTTGTTTTCCTTTCTCTTGTTCTCGAAACTTCTCTTTATTGTAAAAAATGGTATTATCAACTAATAGAATCTAATGGTTTGTATTTTTCTCTAGCTAAGCTCTCCATATGCAAGGTGTTTGGAGCATTACTTTGTTAAATCAAAGATATTTACTACTAATGCATGAAAAGAAAAAGAGTAGGGTATCCAAATCTTAAAAAACAGGGATGAGAAAATGTTCAAAATACCATAATTCAATATTTTCTTCTAAATGTGATGCAAATTTATGAGAAAATGTTATGAAGTAGTTTGGTATTTGATCTCACCAGCCCTCTTTTGGACTATTTGGATGGAAAGAAAGCTTGTAGTATTCAAGAACATTAAGTCTCAAAATGATAAAACCCTTAGCAAAGGCTTTCTCTTGGCTTTTGGTGCACAAAGAATTTCCAAATATCCAAGCCCCTCTCTTTTCTGCTCCTATTAATATGTTCATGAGGAATTAGGTTTTTGTTAGCACTTGGGAGGTTTCTTTTTGTGCAATCCCTTTACTGTATAGGAGTGTCTTCCCCCACCTTCTCTTATTTGCAGATTAAAGCTATACATCACATCACTATCTATCAAAAAAAAAAAAAAAAGCTATACATCACTAATGATCTCCTGTAAAAAAATTAATTATGGTATTATTAGATGGAAACATGATAATATTTTGTCATGGTATACATTAAAAGATCTAACCTCTAATACAAAATTTAGGATGATAATCAATTAAATTGTACTATATATTGGATGGGCAAAAGTGTCCTCAAGAAATTGGGATAATAACTATTTACCTTATCCCAGGTTTTGTTTGAGCAATTAAGCTAGTATAAGAATCTAGCTAGCTGTATGTTCTGCATATATTTTAATATCCAGGTTAGATATATCTTTTATAACAATAACAGTTTATGGTTATACATGCATGCATATAAATGTACATTTTTTAAATGTTCTTTTTTTGGGTGGTGTTGAATATTTTAAATCTCATGTTATAGCTTGTTAAGCTTCCCCATATTCTTTTTAAGCTTCCAAGTGTCTTCTTATGAGCATGTCCTTGCTTCAAATTGTGCAGGTATTTGATTTGTTTGACACAAAACACAACGGGATATTAGGTTTTGAAGAGTTTGCGCATGCACTCTCTGTTTTTCATCCCAATGCACCAATTGATGATAAGATTGAGTGTAAGCTATACCAAATTATTTGTACTCATATTTTTGGCTTTCTTTATGTTTATCTCAGTAATTTCTCAWGAGAAGTAAATGGAAATTACTTTGGTAGATTATTTGGTGGTACTTTTTTTTTTCATTAATGAACTTTCATTTCTTCTATGATGCCTATTTTTATATGCTGAAAATATATTCAAGTGCTAATTTCCACATTGTTGTCTTGTAGTTTCTTTTCAACTTTATGATCTTAAGCAGCAAGGCTTCATTGAGAGACAAGAGGTAAATTATGTTGCTATAGTGAAATTAACCAGTCCTGAAATCATGAGAGCATTAGATTTTAATTTCTACTGATTTAATAATAGAGGGCCCTTTCTTCTTTGAAGCCTTGTAGATTGTGAAGTTTAGCTTTTAGAACATAAAAAACTGTTATTTCACTTGTCCAGATTGGCATATGCTGTTAGCAGCTGTCTTGGGGAGTATGGGACAGTGATAGTGTTTTTAATTTATAACAATAAGGGTAATGCTTATTTGGTTTTTAAAGGCACAATGTTGTTATTAAGTGCTACAGGGTTGCATTTCAATTAATTGAATGCTTCTCTTGTCTTCAGTGGTTGCAATGGTTTAAGGTACGTTCTCTTATTAGTGTTGTTGTTAGTAGACTAGATAGGAAAAGGCTTAGGGTCTGAGGGTAGAGGACTTGTAACCAGTCTAGGGCCCATAAGTTGCCATCTGCCCTACGCAGGATGATAAAGAACCTACCATTCTATGAGTCCCACCTTGAAGATTCACTGCCCTAAAACTTAACTAAGAATCTTATAAACAATGTGTTTTTTAAGAAAATAATTTGGATAATCAAGAATTCCATTTCAACTCTTTTAACTATCTAAAAAGATGTGTGAATCAGATGGTCAAARGACTCTTTCTCCACATAAGTGCTTCCTTTGTAATGAAAATTGTGAAAAACAAAAAGAAAAAGTTGTGAAACTATATATCACTTGCTAATCTCCTACCCTCTTGTGCCTAGCATTTAGGGTTGTTTCCTTTATCTTAGTTACAATATATAGGTTTTATTGAGAAAGAAAACATGAAGAGAGGTGAAGAGAAGAGAAGTGAAAGGTTCGAATGGAGAAGAGAGAGTTACTRTTCACTCTCTCAAACTTGGGATTTTATACTATTGAGAGAAATTACAAGTAAGCCCTCATATGGGTGCCCAAATACAAAAGAACAAAAAAGACAAGAATACCCTTGTACCCAAACA